AAATTTCAGATAACGGTTCATTACATAATAACATAAAAAAGACAAAGTGTTGGATCTAGAGGCATATTCTGTAGATTGCTACAACCTGGGGAAAGCTTCCTTTTCTCTGAGTAGCAGTACAATCTGTTAGGGGGAGTGTTTCAAAGGCAAAAGGGGAAGTTATTTGACCAGCTTCCACTGACTTTCAGTTGTGTGCCAGACTCCTCTTTCAGTCTTTGAAAGTGTCCCCTTCCCTCTCTATTTTTAAAAGCTTTTTTTCAATAAACATTGGTGATGAAACGTATACCCTGAAATATCTTAGTGAATGATTCTATATAGTTCTGTAGTGCACAGTCAGGCTGCTGTTACAAAGGGAAGTAGGTTGAGTTATACAAGCAACAACTTTCTCTGGGAGTTGAAGAATTGAAGAATTTCCACTCTGATGATAAACAGTCTCCATCCTGTATGACTCAGTGAGAGTCAGTTCTTAACATGTTGCAAGGTACGAAAATGCAAATTTGCAAGTAAGTGCAGAGCTGCATTCTCAGCATTGCTACTCCACCCAGAGCTAATTGTGGTATCCATTAACGACACTTGAATGACCCACGGCTGTCCCAGCTCAGCTGACTCAGACTGAAAGGACTTGGGCTGTGGGGCTGTAAAATTCCAGTGCACATGTTCGTGAAGGGGGAGGGTACTAAAACCAGGGCAGGGCTCCAGCTCAAGTCCAGATTTTTACACTGCGGTTGTAAAGCCCCACGTGAGGCCCATGAACCCAAGTCAGCACCCAGGCCAGCTGCAGCTGTGTTGTGTATCTTGTACCACAGTGTAGATGTACTCTCTGAGGCCGTATCTACCCTACAGAGAAGATGGAAGCTGCTGCTGTCGATCTTCCAGAGTTCGAATTAGCGGGTCTCGTGAAGGCAGCTATTTCAAACTGAGGGGCACTCTGGTCAATGCCGGTAATCCTGCTTCTATGAGGAGTAAGGGAAGAGTGTGCTGCCTTCCACTTCCTGCAGGGTGGGCAGCACCAAAAGTCGAGTTAAGGTACTTCGACTTCAGCTACGCAATTAACATAGATGAAGTTGTGTATCTTAATTTGACCTTGTCCCGTACTGTAGACATACCCTGAGGTTTTCACCAAGCGGAGAGATAGCAGACTGAAGTTCTGCAGAGCATGGTGAAATGCTTGGAATAAACACTTAATACTTCCAAAGTGAAGGGGGTGTTGTAGAAGTCTTGACATTTGTGCCTACATTGGAAAATAGTGTTGTATTCTAACATGTATTAGCACAATGTTAGATATGAGTTAGTACTTGTTATAGAGGCATAGGGCTGACCTCTGACTGCAGTGCTTTCATGTGGCAGGCCTTAGCATAACAAGCATGCCTGCCTCAGTTTCCCTGCTTCCGAGCCCCCCGAGTGATCCCAGGTAGAAATATAGACCTGGCCTTATGGGACTTATTTATTACAGAGTCCCATGCACATAAGTCATAACCAAAGTCCCACGTGAATCGTCCAGACTTTCCCCAGCATACTCTAAACACTACAGGTTGCATCTACCCTCAGCATCCCTCTCCAGGCCCTGGCTCCTAGTGTGGGGAAGCTAAATGGAACAGTTTTCCAGCTTCACTATATCTCTGTGCCCTCCCTCCCCCTGCTGCCTGAGGACAGGAATATGGTATAATTTAGGATTACACCATGGCCTGGCTTTCCAACACAGCCCTGGGGTCTCTCATCATGTCCTAGCTATCCAGCATAGCCCAGTCCTGTCCTGGTACCAAGACAGCCATTCCAGTCCTTCCAACTGGAGTGTAACCCTTCTTTTCCTCTCAGCTGGGAGCACCCCTGCCAGGGCACTTTCCTTCATTCTTGGCCCTTTCAATCTGGGCTAAGCTCTCTGGCCCTGAGATGTCAGTTGAGACGTTCCTCTGCTGCTCCCCTGCCTTCAGCTCTCTCCAGCCCTGACTCTCTGGCTTGGAGACACTGCCAGCAAACCACTCTCACTGCTCTTCTGCCTTCAGTCTTCTTCCTGGTCCCAGACATAGTTTCCTACTTCATTCTTCCCTCTTCCCAGGGAGGGTTTGCAGAGATCTTTCTGCAGCTTTTCCTAGAGGCTCCTCCAGTCTCCAGAACAGCTCTCATCAGGACTTTCCCTTGCTAGGTGTCTGCCTGACCTTTTATAGCCTGTAGGTGCTGCCTCACTATTACAGTTGGCCAAATGGGAGCACCAGATCTGGCACTGGGAAGCTGGACCTATTTCATTTACTGGGACCAGCCACCCTGTGCCATCTAGACAAAAGACTATTGGGTTTGAACTTGTGTCAGCAGGCAGGGTCTACCAGGTGTTAATTAATGTGTATCTCCCAATGTAGAGAAGCCCAAGTAATTATTATTCTCCCCAATTCTTTTAGGTTCCAATCCACCAAAGCACTTATGCATATGCTTAAATTTAAGCATGTGAGATGTCACATTGATTTAAAGTTACATATATGTTTACAGCCACAAAGTTGCTTAGAATCTTAACCTCTATTGTGTCGTTGGAGATTAGAAGTCTATGTACGTAGCCTTGTGGATCTGGGCCTAAGTGCTTTGCTGGATCAAGCCCATAGTCTGAAACCAAAATGAAACAGTTGTTGGAATATCAAGTGGAAGTGATCCATCTGGCTGATTCTGCACAGTAAGATAAATGCTGGGAGAATAAGGTGGTTTTAGAGAAGAAATTATAGGAGAGGCGGGTGCTAATATTGATTTGCCAGACATTTCAGCCTATATGCAGTAAGGGAGAACTTGGGTTAAGTGCCCTCCTGGGAACTGGAGTGCACTAAAATGTGCATGCATAATGGTAATAGTGTGTAGTTGTGCTAGGTATTTCAGAAGCACAATTGAAAGTAAAAAGCAAACTGTTTGAACATGGATTCCCTAAACTTAGGCATCTCAATCTACATAAGAAACCCAAACAAATGACTTTATTTGCAGAAGTGCTGAACACTTACCACATAGATGGAAATCAAGCAAAGGGGAGTGCTGGGTGCTCACCACTTATAAAAAAAATCAGGCCACTTATTTACTGTTATCTAATTTTAGAAACCTAAATTGAAAGTTTAGGCCAAAAGGTTTTACACACATTATTCTTCAGGTCTGTGGGCCTGATCTTCAATTGGTATAAAGATTTGCAACAGCTAAGGATCTGACTGTTGTGTGTCCAGTTCCTTAAAAGGTGCAAATCTGACAGAGATTTGGTGGGTGAGGTAATACTTTCAAACTTCACAGAGCTTTTATTCCAGTCTGGGGAAGGAAACCAAAGTGTCTGAGCTAAATACAAGTGGTGTTTTTGCATTTGCTCTGGAAGTAGATGTTCAGTGTGGTTTCCTTCTTCATATTGTGAAGTTTCCAGAAATCGACCCAATAAAAGATATTACCTCACCTATGTTGTCTCTCTCATATTGTGGAATCAATATGGCTACAACTACCCTGAAGACAAACCTGTTCATTAAGTTTTGGAAACAAATTTTCACTCCAGCCTTGCTGAAAAGAAACTCTGGTGCTTAAATAGCTAGTTGTTCCTCCGGGTCTCACATCAAGTTTTGCAGTTTCATTCAAGGGCACAATAAGGTTACTCACTGGAAAGCATTATCCATTGAAAATTTATGTGTGCATAAAATGACCGTATTTGCTCACCACACTTTGAACCTGCAATAGAGATATATTGTTTTAAAAATCTTGTCCCAATTAAGAGCCTAGATGAATTCATCTTTCAAGTTTTAGGGCCCATTTTGTAGCTGTTGTGAATTGAAAAACATCTATTGAAACACTGTTGGCAATGCCGATTTATATTAATTAAGAATGTGGGCATAAAAATAAGCTGAAAACTTCAATTAGATATAGGAAAAGAAACAGGAAACTACTTGTTTGCATGTTCCCAAGACTTTAGGACTTGTTCTGTAGTGGTATGACATTGTCCAACTAGAGAGTAACTGGAATGAAGCCCATTAGCCAACTTACACATAACAGACCATCATTTTTCACTAATTACAGTATGGATTTTAACATTACATACTTACAAAAAGTGCTTGAAAAAATGCCAAATAAGCATCCATCCTATGCTGTAGTACTTCATAAGTATCTGTGATATGTTGTCAGTACCTGTACATATGTTTGCACCATCATTTTGATAATTTTACATTATGCAATTGTGTTATAAATGTTTGAGTGTTAAAGGACATGATTCTACTATCCTTGCTCATTTCAAATAATGCCTTACTTGCAAAGAGTCTCACTGAAATCAGTATTTCCCGCAGTAGGATACTACACAATGCGGGTAAGGGAGCAGAACTGGACTCAAAGCTCTAACAAATTTGACTTTAAATATTCTAAATTAGTATACATTGTCTCATTTGTTGCAAAGGTATAGTTCTGCTTTTTGAAGACATTACATTTTACAGGCATGTGAGAACACCTCAAACAAATTATTTATGATATGGGTTTTTAAATGTGATTACTGATGACATGCAGTTGAATTTACTGCCTGCAAAGCGAATGCCAATATTCTTCAGCAAGCAAAAATTATTCTTGTGTATTCCAGTAACATGTTAAATATGTGGCTAATATGGCAGGTTTTCATTTCTCTTCTTGATTAGAAGTTACAACACCTACTTCAATCACGGAGTTATGTCCTGCTCACATTAGTTATGCAAGTTGTCCTACTAAAATTAATAGGATACCTGTGTAAGAATTAGAGGGTTTTTGAGCTATGCAAACACATAGGGTAAAATCCTAGCCCTTTTGAAGTCTATGGCAAAACTCCCATTGGCTTCAGTAGGCCAGGATTTCATCCATGGCCCCTGCTCCCAAACATTTTCATGCTCACAATCTTTCCTCGTTTCTGCTTCCTGTCACCTGTCAAACTTTATTGTTAGAAAGAAGCTAGTATTGTTGTACTCTATTGCAAGCAAACATAATTCCAGCTTTAAAAAATGAGCTTTCCTTCTTCCCTTTGTAAACTTTTCCTTCTCATACAGACTGGGTCTGAACCAGCCCCTCAAGGACAAGTGGAAGATGTTCCAGTGAGCAGTGAAAGAGCTGATGAGCCGGCTCGTCATGTCTTCTCTTTCTCCTGGTTAAACTCACTGAATGAATGATGACTATCATTCCAGCTGGCTTATCTGAGTGGATCTATGAGGCACCGACTGATCTGGCTGGATCCAACAAAACATAGTGCAAATAATGAACATCTTGATCAGATTTAATTCCAAGGCCCTGATTTGAATTCCATTATACTGTATCTGATAGGTTTAGATTAGAGTGATGTTTGGAAGTAGCTGAATAAAGGGAGTGGGAAAGCTGGACTAATAGATGTCTTGATGAAATACTGTGCTAAAAATAACTGTGTTCAAGTAAAACCTGTTTCAAAAAGAAGAATGTTGAACAGAAGCTTCTTGCTATAATTACAGTTTAAATGAATGAGCACTGTGATTGTTGGTAGCCAGTCTGAATGTCCTGTTGTATTTTTGTAAGTGCTTGCCCAACTCTGTTAGTTGAAATATGACTAATGGCATTTTGTCAATGAAACGATGACCCCCCCTCATTGTTGCTCAATACTCCAGGTGGAGTAATTCCATCTTTTCAACCTACTGCAAACTCTTGTGGCAAACCTTTGATGAAAGCCACAGCATTCAAAGGTAAGTCTAAAACTCCACTGGATGCACTCACTGTGCAGAATGAGTGCAACACTTGTAGTGCTACTACAGACTGATGTGCAATAGCTGAGCATAAATAGGGATGGCAAAAGAAGCATTTCACCCTTCAATTTGTATTTTCCAGCTGTGGTTGATACATCACAATGAATAACACTCAAACATTATTTTCTGTTAAATTTTATATACCTGTAGATAATAAAGGCATAGCTATAGGATACAGTGTATTGGAACCCTTCCTGAATTATATGGGATATGGATCTCTGTGTGGTGTATTATCTGTACTTCCCCAAAGGGCAGGGAGAGGATTCTGAATGACTGTTTCAACTTGTGCCGATCCATATGCATATTTGATCTATACCTTCATCTTCTCATCTTCCTTTAATACATTAAATCAACATTCCCTTTTATCGTTTTGAGCAATTTGACAGTAAAAGGGCAAGACCTTTCAAACCAGAAATGACCATTCTGGGCTGAACTGTGATGAGTTTATTGCAAATATCTGTTAAAGATTGCATTGAAATAGATTATAGGCTCATGAAAAAGGCTACCACAGTGTGGCCTGACCTGCACTCTGTGTACTACAGTTATTCAATTATTTAACAAATCTGATTACATACACTGACATGCCTTTTATAATGATGAGCAGATTGAAATTACTCTTCATTCTAAAGGTAAAATCCTGGGAGTTTTCCCGCTGACTTGCTTGGAGTCAGGATTTCACTCTCTAAGGACAGTTAGAAAAATGGTTACAGAATTGAATAGTGAGTATTTCCTAATGGGTGCTGGCTGGCATCATGGTGAAAAGGCTTTTCCAAAACCTGTTGAAGTTGAAGATTCCCATTGATTTCAATGGGCTTTGGATCAGGCTCTGAATACATAGCTATTGTAGTACCATGAAGACATGCAATTTTTGTCATGGTACCATAGTCCATAGTGTGAAACAGTTGATTAATGAAAGCTAGAAGGCAGGGTAGTCTAAGTTTTGATAACAGCTTGATATTTAGTCTTTGGGAAGCCACTTACCATCTATGTTGTTTCTGGTTTTTTCCTCATATAAAACGGGGCTGTTCAGGATGGGTTTAAGGATCAATTAGCTAATATTTGTACAGGGCTTTGAAATAACAAAGTGCATGTTAAGTGTTAACAAATATCTGCTCTGAACAGAAGTAACATTCATTACCACATCTAGTTGTGGTCCCCTCCCCAAGATTTTATTCTTCCTTTTTTTTCTTCAATAAATTCCTAATGAATATTTGCAGCCAGAATTCAGATTTGTCTTTGCTGGTTTTACAAAATCCTTCTGCAAAGGCTCCCCTCTCCCCAGCCTCG